GGATATCAAAGCCGATTTGCCGTTATATACCCGCATCTCCCGAGCCCTCAAGATCCACGCGCCGAACACTGCTCGGCGCTCCTCGGAGAAGATATTACAGAAGTTATACTTTCAGTCATGAACTTCATGCTGGAACATGGAGCTATGGCCTGATTGTCTGTGTAGTCTCGCGCTCTGTGTAGAACGGTCCTTGGACTTGTGGCCGTTTTGGAAATCGTTCTTGACGTTTCAGGTATTGCAATGCAACGGCAGAATGATTGACAGATGAATAATAGGCAGATATGATATGAATACGTAAAAGAAAATATTAACAAGCACATATGTCCGTTGCAGAAAGAACGAAATCAGCTTTGAACACCATGAATGAGATCCCCCCTTACCCAGCCATAAACTGATTTCAATCACTGATCTGCCTTCCTCGATGGCCTCTGAACATCCCATAAATCTTCAGCATTTCCTCTAAACAGCCGCTCTTTGAGACGCTCATCATCGCCGCACCAGCTCAGCACCCTCTCCATCCAGGGCTTGATGTCCAACCCCTCAAACCTTGTGTGAGGCCAGTCGGTTGCAAAAACAACATGAGTCTTTCCAGCGACTCGAATGACCTCCTTAGCAATGGGATCCAAATCGCTGTAGTCCGGGAGCGTGCTCATCCGGTACGCGGCCGACAGCTTGACATATGTCTGGCCGTTTTTAAGCAAGTTGATGAGGGATGAGAAGCCTGGTATGTCGTATGGGTCTGCGCCTGCGTATTTGTTCAGGGGTGGCTGTCCAAGATGGTCTATGCAGAACTTGACATTGAGCTTCGGAATGATGTGTTCAAGGAGAGTGACCATATCCATTGGAACATAGACCTGAACAGCCCATCCTAAGGGTCTCACGGCATTGGCGTAAAGCATCAGTTGACGCTCCAGCTCGGCCGCATCAATCGCAAGTTCATTCGAGAGGATATTGAGTCTCACTCCCCGTACACCCAGTTCATGCCAAGAACGCAATTCCTCTTCCTTAACGGCCTCAGGGTCAATGGCAACAACGCCTCGTCCACGGTCAGCACCAAGGGCATGCAGACCATCGAGCAGACACGAGTTGTCAAGGCCATAGATAGATGGCTGAACCAGGACTATGTTTCGAAGTCCAACGCTGGTTTCAAAGGCGAGAGCTTGGTCCAGACTATGAGATGTAGGACGGTATTTGGCTGAAGCATCAAGGGTGTAGTTCTCCACGTCGACAATATGCATGTGTGAGTCCCATGAGTCGGGAGGAATACCTTGAGCAAGGTCTGAAGAATTCATATTGAAGATATTGAGTGCGTATAATTAATTGAATAGGTTATAGAGGGTTTTAGGGAAGATATATAGTCAGTGTAATAAGTATGAATTATGCTATGTCCGACTGGGGAACCGAGGTCGGCCGAGTCGGCGGGGAAGACGAGACGAGAGTTTAAACTCCGCAGTTCAAACGGACGGTGACTTCCGAAAGTTAATTGACCGAATAGCATCTTTATCTTATCGTGTTTTTATTGCATTTGATATCCTAGGAATTGTTCATGTAGATGCGTGGCATAATAACGGCAGTTATCCTTGTTAGCACGTGTGAAAGGGGTTTGCAGGCATCAGTTACATGCCACGCCCTGAGTGCATAGGGCGCATGTATCGAAGAATAGATGCCTAACGGCAATAGTGAAATCCACAAATATAGCCGAGATGGCCTCTCACTAACAGCCACTGATTGATATCTGTAATTGAGCGTATAAGAAGCGTATGCACAGCCAGCATAAGCCGGCAACTTACACATCAGCAGGCGTATAAGCAGAATTACCTATTTCAAATAGGTAGTTCACAGCCCTGCAGCTCACTCCCGTTGCAGTAAATCTGTTCAGGTAATCAAGCACTAAAACACAGCCTCAACCGCTGATTCCATGGCCCATAACTCGCTAATGAAAATGGAATCGCGGGGCAGAAGAAAAGACCCTTGAACTAAATGGCACGCCACCTTCCCAAAAGAGGAAGCAGAGCTCTGCGAAATCCAATCGTCATCTGCGTCTTCGGTGACGCAGCTTCTATTCTCTAACCCCCGCCACATTTTGGGCTCCCCCCTTGTAAAGATTTGTCATTCACATTGACCGACAGCCCGAAAAAAATTCAAATATCAATGCGATTCCCTCGATAGCTTCACTTCACTCTCTCTCCACAGAACATAACAACACAATCGCATTCATCTCTATTAGCTGCAAAAATGTCCTACCTTCCTCCCTTCTTGGCGCGTCTCGCCCGCCCCTTCACACAATCTACGCGCCTCTCAATCGCTCCCGATCAATCCGCTGCATCTGTCATCCCAGAGGGCGCCCAGCGCTGCACCGTCGCTGCAGGATGTTTCTGGGGAACAGAGCATCTGTATCGCAGACACTTTGCCGACAAGGGTCTCATTGATGCCAAGGTTGGATACATTGGTGGTGATCTTGAAAACCCCAGCTACCGCGCCGTCTGTGGTGGAAAGACGGGCCGTACGTCTCAATCCACATCATTCGCATTTGACTGTAACTAACATACATAGACGCCGAGGCCGCACAAATCATCTTTGACCCTACAAAGGTCTCATACGCACAACTCCTAGAATTCTTCTACAAGACGCACGACCCCACGACGCTGAACCGCCAGGGCCCCGATACCGGGCCTCAGTACCGCTCTGCCATTTACTTCCACAACGAGGAGCAGGAGAAGATCGCGCGCGAGGTCACAGAGAAGGCCAACAAGCAATGGTGGAAGGGCGGCATCGTTACCGAGATTGCGCCCGCTGGAAAGTGGTGGACTGCTGAGGAGTATCACCAACTCTACCTCCACAATAACCCCTCTGGCTATGAGTGCCCGAGCCACTTTATGAGGCCATTCCCACCTCTGGAGTAAATAAATATTCGAGGATGATTGCATTTTGGCTTAGCAGACGGATGGAAATGGCACCAATGATATCAGGAAACTTAACTTGGAATGAGGCAATGAGAGGACAGAAATTCAACATATACCTAGTCACAATATTAAACGTTTGAAGTCCACTCCACTCTGATTATTTGAAGTTTTTTTTTTTTTTAATTTCTTATTTGCTAATCCTAAAATTAAGAAATTGGAAAATCCTTCCACTTGTAGACCGGTTTCAACAAAAAACAGGAGAGGAGTGCACTATCCTCCATCCGAGTAATAATCCTTTTGCTAAAAATAATACAAAACGCCTATAGCGCTAGTTCTATGCTATTTCATCACCAATCGCTTACTTGCGTCGGTTTTGCTGCATCATCAGGATCTGAACCATGCGGATGAAGATGTTGAGGAAGTCAAGCTCAAGAGAGATACTCTCGTTGACGGGGTCTCGGCGGATGACACCAGCCTGGGCGAGACGAGCGTGGTGGAGGACCTTCTGGACATCGTACAGAGTGAACCCACCAAACACAGCAAGACCACCATACAGCCAGATGCTCTCAGTGAAGGCAAGGGTTCGGATAGCGGTGGCGGGGATGACGAGAGGGGCGAGACCAGAAGCAGCGACGATGGCGGCACCAGCCAGCAGAGGACCACCAATGTAGAGGTACTTCTCCTGCTTAGCAGTGGCACCGACAACGGCAAGACCACCCATCATGGCGATGGTGTAGAGACCAGCACGTCCAAGAAGAGCGGGAGGAACGAAGGCGAGGAGAGGAGCGACAAAAGCAGCCTGGGTGGCGTTGAAAGCGGTCCAGAGGGCGTACTTGGGGATGTAGCTGGGAATCGTTAGTAAAATGATTCTAATTTTAGCATTGATTGAATCGACAACTTACTTGTCAGGGCTGATAGATCGAGTTCCAATCATGGTGGCAAAGCTGAGAGCGAGACCACCAATTCCAACAACCCAAGGGTTGGTGACCATGATTCGGTAAACGAAGCCGGTTTGAACCATTTGTCGAGCCGTCAATCCAATGATACCAATTCCGAGGCCAGTGTGCAAGAAAGTGTTGTTCAAGTATTCGCGCTCGTAAACGGGCATGCCGCCATCCTCACGGGTCTCCCGGTTGAAGACAGCATTGATGGCAACGAGCGTACCACCAAAGATGGCACCTCCAACCAAGAGTCGTCGGCTCGTCGACTGAGGCGCTGTGGCGGCTCCCGCAGCTTGCTGGTTGTAAGATCGACCGCCAGCGCGGCTCGTTCGCTGGAAAGCATTGCGGGTGGCTGCGGATGTGACGCGCGATGTGAAGAAGTTGGCCGTGGGCTTGGACTGGACGTGGAAGCTTCGGACGGATGCGGTGTTGCGGAAAGCAGTCTTTGAGAGCTCAGGAAGCCTCTGCGCAAGTCGCGCAGGGCCCTGGCGGACAGTCATTGTGAAGGACATCGTCGTTCTGGCGATGCAGGTGTTGGGAGAAGAGGAGAATGCAATATGCAGTCCTTTACAAAGGAAAAGGTTGAAGCGGGGACGGGGGATCGAGAGTGTTATAAGTCCCCGGTAAAAGAATGGAAAGCATGACGTTGGTTCCTGCTGTGGAGCCCACCTACCTAAAATCCGACATCACGTGGCTGTGCTGGTGGAATATTGTGGAAAGAACCGGCGCCTCTCGGTGACTCAGATGGTCATCACTCTCGGCGGCTACGGGCTCTAAACTCCAGGCGCCGTCGGATTTACTGGTGTTAGGTTATGGGAATAGTCACATCACAGATACTGTGCCTTGACGTTAGCTTCTTTCTAGCCTCTTCTATTTTCGGCTGCTTCTTTTCAATTCCAATATTATTATGAAGGATATCAATCAACACCTCCATCAAGGGTATCTACTAACCATCCTTTCCCCCAGCATTCACCCCGTTGCATCATGCTTTCTCTCTACCCGAATATGCGTTACATCGCACGAGACTTGATATGTAGTAATGGCAAATGCTCCGCGACTTTGACGCCAATGCTGCGCAACGTAGATCCAATGCTTTCCATCCCAACTCAATTCCCAATCATTTCCTCAGAATGTCCCCCAAGACGCCGTCCTTTCTCTATCGTAAACTTCCAAATCCTTTCTCAATGACAAATCGCACGGGTCGTCGTGCTCTCTTGGCTCTGTACCCAAACGCAGATCGTGGCATAAAGTTCTGCGATGTGAGCATAGCAACGCTCATGGCCTTGGGCGCAGGACTATCATTTTCGGATTGTCCCTGTCCAGAGGTTTCGCTTGGCGTGGGTTCCGTAGAACGTTGACCAACGCGGTCATCAAACCCCCAATTCGAAACACCACCGGCTCGGATCCAAGACTCCAAGTTACGGCATTGACTGACATCCATCCAGTTGAGTCGCCCGCATCCGTTGAGGACATTTTCGACACCTCGCCCAGTGACACGCACGCAGCCACGGACACTGAGAGCCTCCAAATCGTTCAAGTGGAGCGCCACGCTTTCCAAGCTTCCATCGCTAACCGCACTTCCGCAGAATGCCAATCGCAGCTCCCGCAACTTTGGCAGACGGAGAGCGACAACCTCTGTCGCCGTGTCAGAGAGTGCACAGCAGAACGATAGGTCTAGATGTGTCAGGTTCTTGGCTGAGTTGACCAGGGCTACCACGGCGTTGTCCGAGAGATATGTGCAATCAGCTAGGCACAGCCTAGACAGCTTTTCAAACCGGAATGGCGCCCATGATTGAAACCCTGCGTCTGTAATTGACGTGCAACGTGTGAGGGACAACGACTCGATGCGGTTCGAAGCATGAGCTGCCAAATGTGCCATAGAACGATCTGTGATGTGCTTGCAATAGGAGAGGTTGAGGCGTTTGAGTTTCGGGCACCCAACTACTGTACCAGGGGGCAGAACATGCTGTGCGGCCTGCTTCTGTTGCTGCTGCTTGTTTCGCGATCGAGCTGCAGAACTTGAGATAACGACTGATTTCGAAGGTGGAGGATCAGGTACAACCCAGCCAACAACGCGGCCTAGAAGATTATCACCGACCTTGCGGCAGTTGCTCCAGTCAACTTCTTCTAATCCCTTTGCGTTCTCGCTCATCTCCAGAATCTGGTTCGCAGAAACGTCCCAAACTGATTTCATCTTCCACTTCTTGACATTTTTGCCACAACTGCGCCATAGAGCTCCAAATCCTTCATCCGTTATATGAAAGCAATTATTCAGGTCAATGGACAGAGCGCGAGTGCCAATGAAGGGGGCGAGCACCTTGATGAGGACTTCGTCAGTAACCTTGCGGTTGTAAATCGAGAGGTCGACATCTTGGCAAACTTTAGGGGATGTAGTCAAGAGCTTGCGCCAGTGTGTGCTAACAAGGCGTAGTCGAAACAGCTCACCTATATCCACGTGCTTGAAGATGTAAATTAGGATCTCGTCTGAGAGCACTGGTTTGCTCATAGTGATTGGTCGGGTGGGCAGAGTCGTCCGTACTCGCTTTGCCGGGACGTCGTCGTCGTCAGCTGAAGCATCAGAAAACGCAAATTTGATAGGCGTTACTTCTGAGAGGCGAGACCTGGCACCATTGGTCGTTGGAGTAGAGCTGTCTGTTGGAGGCACTGGCGGTGCCAACGAATGTCGTCTTCGATTTCGAATATTCTCCATGTTCACACTCAAGAACGGATCGGGGTCCTTGGGTGCTATGTTGCTTGTATCATCTTTCGCTGGAGACCCAGGTTTGGACGGGGTAGTAAAGGTGAGGTCAGGGAGGGATGCTCTTGTTGGTGTTGTAGGTGTGGGCGGGTCAGATTTGTTGGCCTTTTCCTTAACATCAACATCAACCATAACAACGTCGTCGCTCTGCTTCTGATATCGCAATCGTGCAGTTTCTTTGACCTGTGTCAGAATATCCGAAGGACAGCGTCTCCAGAACTCGTCGAGGACATCGCCTGTAATCATGATACACTCCACAGAAGTGATAGATCGAACAGTGGCTGTTCGACCTCGCGACAATCCAAGACTTGCAACTTCACCAAAGTATTGTCCTGCCTTCAATCGAGGTCGTTTTGGGATGGCCTTGGCCTTATTCTGAATGTTATCGTCGTAAACTGGCTCATCATGAATGACCTCCGCCTCGCCACGAACAATGAAGAAAATTTCGTTTCCTGGTAAGCCTTGGCGAACGATATCTGTAAACGGGGTATAAGATTTTGGTTGGACACTCAATCCCAGGAAATGCAGAATATCTGCGGGAAGTGTAGAGAAGAGTGGTAACTCCTTAAGTGTTGTTCGAATATTGATCTGGCCGCTTCCAATCGCACTACCAGCAGCTGGGTCCTCCATGATTCCAGGGCTTGGGGACTTTCTTTTCTTGTTGTTGACGACCGCACCGTCCTTGATAACACCCCTTTCTCCAGTAGAGACCTCTCCAGGAGCAGCTTCTCGAGCGCTGAAGTCTCCCTGGGGAGATTTGACCAATCTGCCACTTTCTTGCCGCTTCTTTTTCAGAAGGTTCAAGCGTTCTTGTGCCTCTTCTCGAATCGCCTTCTCCATTTCTGGGAATTTGGGTATCACGGCATGTAAATCTTCCTTCTTCAGGACTAGCAACAGACACTTCGTGCGCGCTACAATGGTAGCTGTTCGAGGCATCTGCATCAAAACGCCAATTTCTCCAAAGAACGACCCGGGATTGAGCTCAGCATAGACCGCCTCACCATCACGCGAAGTGACAGCAACAACTCCTCGAACCAGCCAATACATTGCCTTGGCTTCGTCTCCTTCCGTCACGATATGGTCATTGGGGCTTTGGATTTGAGGCTTCAGGTGATTTCCTATAGCAACAAGAAACTCTTCCGGAGCTGACATAAAGAGGGGGAAGGATCTGATACGGTCAACCAGATCTAGCGGCATGTCTCGGATAAGCGATGCTGTGAGCGGCGAAGGCCGCACTGGCCGCGTAGGATTCGTTTCGACATTGAAAGACCGAATCAATGAAATCGAGTCTGAGGATGTCGCAGCAGCCGAGGCCTGCTGATGATGAGCCAAAGCCCTATAGGGAGATGGCGAGCTTGGGGAACGGCCTCGCCTCATGGTTCCAGGTATGGCAAATAGCGGTGTTGCTAGAAGTCAGCGGAATCGCAACGACGAGGATAATTGCCTCCCCTCCAGCAAGCTCTCGAGCCGCCGCCGCAGCTGAGAGTAACAGTTTCGTGACCTTTGATCTTTGTTCCTGGCTTTGTATCTCCAAGGTTATGACGTGGAAATGTCAAGTATAACTTGGAGAGTGGATCAAGGTACAGTCATGCTCCGGTGTGACGTTGAGAAGCAATCCTTGAGGAGAATAGGATGATCGCTTTTGTGCGATCGTTTTGCCGACTGTCGCTTGAGATATGGACGCACAAAAGGCTTGTGTTGAAGCCCAGGCTCGATCCGTAGGCCCCGTGATAGGTATAGGGGCGTAAAAGCTGCAGTCACAGACTGAATATCAAGGTAGAAGTCGTACAGGGTTCCAAGGCGGCGGTTTGAATATCTTTTTCGTAACACGAGAACAAAGAGCGAACTGTTGTGCAGGTGATGGCGTAGATGTTGAACGTCAAGAATGATCGCGTGGATAGATCGAAGGTGGCTTTCAAGGACTATGAGCGATGACGGATGGCAGACAAAGAATGGAGACTCGTGTTGGGACTTGCCAAAGCTTAAGCGGAAGCCAAGAAACGAAGGGTATCTGATTCTCACGGATAGAGGTTAAAGAAGAAAGCTGGTGGGGAGCTGTCAAGAAGCAACAAGGAAGCTATTGTAAGAGTGGCAATTGGCGAAGCTCGAAGTGGAAATCGGTTGAGGAGGTCAAGTCGAGGTCAAGCCAAAGGAGCATGCACAGTATGTAGGTAGGAGATAGATAGATCCGCATGGGAAAAGATGGATTCCAGTGCCAGTTCTGGCCGCCACATAAACGACGCCCACTCAAGACCACGACCACGACACAGAAGGCCCCTCTTGCATTCGACACGCCCACTCACAAGCACAAGGAAAGCTTGGTGTGGGGTAGTTAGGCAAAGTACCTACAGTACAGCACTGTAGGTACTACCCTGACTTAGCTGGGCGGGCGGGCAGTGCCGTCACACACGGTGAAGGAGCGTGTAAGAAGCGAGCCAAAGAACAAGGGCCCCTGTGCAAGTGAAGCTTTGAGTGGAGAAGTATGAGCAAGCCAAAAGCAAGCAAGCATCGGTAATGCAAGCAATTCAACGGGAAAAGAACGATTTCGAGAGTCAAACTTTGGTTAATCACCGAACGGCACAGAAATTGACTCTCGCAATGATGCGACTGTTGATAAACTGAGATGCCCTAGGCTGCTCGCGTGGTGGTGCCGGTACCTTGGCACAAGCGCATGTAGCCAAGATAGTCGCAGTACCAGCTACATTAGCAACCTATTGCCCTGTACCTAAAGTTAGTGGCGTCTTAGGGCAGTGGACATCCCATCACAAAGTGAAACGGAGCCAGCCCCGGAGCTGCTGTTGGGAAGAAACCTGAGGGTCAGTGCGTTGAGGCGCTTCTGTGGATGCTTCGATAAAGCTTCAGTGGGATGCGATGTGCTGTTTGCTGCTCGTCATGGACCTTGACCAAACCCTTTCAAGGACCCCGGTAATGGACTTCTCATCCTCACTAGCGAGCGGCACCAAGCGCAGATGACCGAGCGCGCACAGGGCGCTTAACGGTTCACTGGTACCTTTCTTTTGATGTTTGGCAGGGGGTAGAATAATCTGACCAAAAACAACCTGTGTGAGAGCTGATGCTGCGGAAGCGACTCCGATAGCTTGCTTCTCCTGATTCCATACAGTAATCCATGCATGGCCAGTACATACCTAATTAAAAATGTCCCATCAGTTTGACGAAGCCGTGGTTGACGGTGAGCCATGGTCTTTTAGGGTTAGTAGCGGTCGTCTTCTGCCGTCATCATTTCCCCCCCTCTGCTACGTATATGTCGATCCTGATCGTCGGATCCGTGCAGCCAGCCTCCAGCCTACCGGGAAAGGGGCCAGCCATGTTATGCCATCGGTCAGAAGACCATCATTTTGGTGATATATCCGATATGGTTGTCATTTGCCTCGGCAAGCTGCGAAAAAACATAGCCGTGGGAGTACGTTTTGAGAAGTTTGATACATGTCGTGATACCATCTGTACTGTAGAGTATTATAATTTTGATGAGTGTTTTGTCAAGAGCTTCTCCCTTTTGCATTGACCTCTTGTCATGCAGATGCTGCGACAGTTAGCGTTGGCAGTGGCTGAAAATAGATACATGGCTTGGTAATTTCCAGCTTCATTCGGGCACGTTCGCATCGCCATGCCAGTGTCAATGCCAGATGCGGCAGCTTGTCGGAGGGAGATCCTTGCAATATGTAATAGATAGAGAGCTCTGCGGAATCATTTCGTGAAATGTTTCGTCATGGTGTTTCATGTCTGCGGGCTGTGGGTGTCAGTATCCCCCATCAGATCAGTCTGCAGAAAACATGCAGCGATTGTCGTGGGAAAACTGCAGCCTTGTAAGGCGACCTGCATCAATTGCTTCTTCTGTCGTCTGAAAATTGCTGAATCACAAGCAAATAATGTATGTAGTTCTTTTCAGTGTTGTTCGTCTGAGACAGGGTCTCTAAAGGTTTTGAGGCCACCCACAGGGTTCTTAGCCGTGATCTTTCTAGAAGGTAGCACTGACCCAGGGACAGCGGTCAGGCAACGCAATGACCACCTTGCCCTGGTCATGGAAACTCGCTAGAAGAAGGAGAAGAAGGAATGAATTGTTGTAGGCCAGGTCGTATTTTCAGGTCATTAAACCAAATGCAGGTCCTACCTTAAATATGCGCTGGAAAGCAGCTTCCTGAGATTGTTTATGGCAGCTACGTACCTAGGCACCTAGGTCCTTCTTCAACTTCGGTTAAGCCACACTTTGTCAGATGCCTGGGAAAATGTTATTAAAGAGCCATACCTTAGTTTTAACCAGAGCCTGCTCTTGCAGTTTTGTACTTTCAACGACTCGCGAGGAAAGAAAACTTCCAAGGGCCTCGATCCTAAATGACACAAATATTTAGGTACCTTGTCTAATTCAGTTGGCCTAATTTTCGGGAGCCCTTCACTCCCTAAGTTTATTTTAGTACCCTCTTTCTTGCTCCCCGAGGAGATGCAGACTAAAGAACATGTATACATCAAGCCAGAATGCGAACTCTGCGATCAAACTATTCACACCGACGAGTGGACTGTAGCCTGTGGGATAACCGTTCCATGCCTTATGTTTCTTCCAGTATGCCCATCTAACGTCGAAGTCATAATTAGTGCTTGGGAATGAGCATGGCCTCAGCCCGTCATATTTGACCAACAAGTTCCGATTTCCAGAGTCTCAGGATGTCGTTGAAATGGCAGACGAGCTAACACTGTGCCAACGTCTCCAATACAAGATGTGCGAAATGGCTCATGCTCGTCCATCCGTGACAATACATGCGAATTGTTACCGTGTTTTTCAGCAGTCTTTTTGTTGGGAAGATGCCGTGGACGCTATATGGGTCGCTTCAGCGTGGAAGTCCCCATGGCGACACCGACCTCCCCAGCGCAAGCCTCGACTTGATCTCACTGACATGACGTTGCTGTCAATAGGAGGGCCAGTTGCCGAGGCTATTGGTATCTCAGGCCTGGCACTTTTGCCGCCAGAAGTGCTCCAAATGGTCAGGTCTTATATCCCCGATAATCTCCTCTGGCGATATTCTCTCATCCAAAATATTGCTGAGGAGATGTCACGGCCCTTCCAAAATCCCTTTGAGCCTCAACATGATGCTACTCGCTTTGCTCTAGCAGCAGTGAAAGCTTGGAAACGCGAATCAAAGGGGATGAATACCACTTGTGATGAGAGTAAATCAGAGTCGTTCATCGTCAGACTTACTGTTGACTGTCTTGGCTTGAAAGAGATCCAAAGATTACATGATTGGCCAGAGTATAACCACACGCGGTCCAACACTTACACATACGTTTTCTTCACACAAGGACAAGCGGATAGATCTTTCATTTATTCAAAGGTTAGTTATCTCTTGACTATATAGGACCGTTTATTAATACTAAGCAAGTTTGGGCGAGCTTTCATCGATAATCCTGATGACTCTCAAGACTTCCCATTTTGGGACACGCCAAACCCTCCCTTGAGAGGATTGAAAATGTTTCCGCGGCCAGATCGTCCAGGTTCCATCCGTTACCGCACTGTCGATCTCCTCAATACCACAGGACTTACCTTCTTCTTTCTGAGAGGTTTCATAGTGGCAGTTCACTCCCACACGGCGAACGCACCAGCTGCAGCACCAGCTATACAACATTTCTCTCGATATGAACAAGGTTATATGATATGGACGTACATCCCAGTATCCAGTACTGATATCCTCCTTCGGATCGGTGTGGGGGACACTTGGCAAAGAAGTATAGAGGTAGGTTTGCGTACTGTCTAATCGATCTTTCTCACATCAGTAGATATGTACCAAACTTACCGGGACCTGCCTCTTTGGTCCTTATGACTGTTATATGGATACTCGCGATGTATCGGGAAATACGCCATCTGTGCTTGTTCATAATGTACCGATTGAGAGGGTAGGCGGTTCACTCGGTATAGTTACCGAGCATAACTTGGAGAGTGAACCCTTGTTGTCGTTTCCTCGCTACCACAACGACGACATGGATCCCCCGGGCATGGGCTGTATCAACACTGTAGCTCCAGCGAAAAATGTCACTCATGCTGATGTCTATTACGATCGCAGCAGTGGGTATTCTAAAGGATTGCTGCTGGCGTATGCAAACGGTGCGCAGCGGGCGGTAGGGCAATGCCGGGTTGGTATTGACCCTTTCAAAGCTTACGAAGAGCCATCCTGGTTCTGTTCCCGCAAGGTCTATCATCCAGGATCACTCGAAGAAACCGGAAGTTGTGTTGTTGAGTGTACGACTGGCACGAATGACCACAAGCATGAACCTTGCGACATTGATGATTGGCAGTGTATGTGCGCACGAGCAGGATTACGTCTTGAGTTCGTGTGCCACTACATGGTAAACACTTTTGAGATGTACATTCGACATGATGAGGAAGAGGACGATGACTAAAAACTATTGCTTTCTTTCTCTGATGAGAAGCGTTTGTGGTTCTTGTCTGATGTAATTATAGTATTTACAAGTATTATTACCAGCCACATCACAGCCAGGAAGAAGATATTCCACCATTTGCGTATCCGATCAGAATGTGGCCTTTGCTATCAGATCATCCACCGGCACTTGTACATGATTTCTGTGCGATCATTCTAATCAATCGAACGTGAGCATGTGCATGGTGGTTGTGGTTGGTATTTCAATATGTTACTGTATCAGGACACCCAGTGAACCCTTCAAAGCAGCCCAGTGAAGCCCCAGGACAGGCACAAGCTTCCATTTTATCTAGAGCGATTATAATAAACAGTATACGGAGTACTACATGCCCAAATTCTTAACTCCTATTTACGCGACTCTCATATAAGTAGTCTTTCTAGCAGCCACAGCACAGCCACATTCGCTCCCACGGCAAACCTAGGTTCTCCTTTAAACTGTTCGTTTAATTAAAGCTAAAGACAAGCTAACATTCGCTTTGAGCAGTTGTTTTCTTTATCGCATATTTATCGCCCTTCTATACTCCCAGTGAACCTATTTCCTACTATAAGCCATCATGTTCATGGATGAGGGTTTTAGTATAAGTGATTTAGAGGAGGGCATGAAGGAGGAAGATGAGGACGAAGAACCATACAAAAGGCTGAAACACATCTATCTTAAATCAGATTGCGGCCTTTGCAATCAACCGATGGGTCCAAATCAATGGACTCTAGCATGTAAGATTGAATAGCTTGCCTTAACTCTACCCTCTACAGCACGTACTGAACTAACAATCTCATGCAGTAATTGGTAATCCTGAAGGGACCAAACCAGTGAAGTGCACAAAAAAGTTCCAATATCCTGTAACCCGCCAAACTATTCGCGTTAGGGGAATACTACCGTTATGCCAACGTAATGAGTGTGGGAGGTGCTCAAAGTCTCCTCCTTCTATAACAATACACGCCAGTTGTTATCGCGTTTTCATGAAGGAATATCGACAGAAGAGTGCAATGGAGCGCATATGGGTTGCATCATGCTGGAAGTTTCCATGGCTGCATGATCCTGTTCAACTTACACCTCGGCTCAGTCTCAATAACACTACCAAGGCGTCAGTGAGGGCTTCTACCGCAAGAGCTTTTGGGATACCAGAACTAGCAAATTTGCCGCCAGAGCTTTTGCAAATGATCAAGTCATTTGTGCCGCATCACTCGTTGTGGAAGTATAGCTTCATCCAAAATGTTGCAGAAAGTATGTCTTCATCTGGGGCTAATATCGAGAGTTACCCATTGGCCAGCATCAAGTCATGGCAACGTGGACTACCAGTTGTCTGCGATACAGGCGAATCGAAAGAATTCGTTCTCAGACTAACTGTTGATGGCGATGGCCTCAATAAAATCGAGAAACTAGAGAGCTGGCCCGAGTATAGTCAGGTTCGGTCTAATGCTTGTGCGTATCTCTTCGTCCTGCCCTCCCAAGCAGAAGATTCACATATTGATTTCAAGGTATGTCCAAAAGCCTCCTCTGGGCGTAAGTATCGCTAATGTTCAGGTTAGTTTGGGCGAGCCTTTCTCAGAAAGTCTTTGCGGTTCGGATTCGGGGAGTTTTGGGACACGCCGACCCCTCCCCAAAGAATGGGCTGAGCATGTTTGCTACACCATTTAACCGCGATGGTGCTGTCCGTTTCCGGACGGTAGATCTTTGCAATATCACTGGTCTGACATTCTTCTACTTCAGAGGCTATATGATGGGAGTTCACGCTCACACAGCCCACTCCTCAACAGCAACATCCACTTTGGATGAGATTTCAGCAATAGATCCGAAGTACTTGATCTGGGCGTATGTACCAATTTCGAGTAAAGACAGTCTCGTGAGGATTGGTGTACGCGACAGTTTAGATTTGTGTCTGCTTCCGGCGTTTAAAAAACCGACAATGCTGGTAAGTCTCTGGCTAAGGCATCCTCTTTGGTCCCAAAGCTCACGTCCACAGATATCAACCAAGCTTGCCGGTGATTTCGTGCTGGGTCCTGATTATAAATATGCCGTGAAAGGATACTTATCAGGAAAGGACCCGAGCGTGTTTGTGTACAATGTCCCGTATAATCGATACCACAGTATGTATGGAGCAGTAAGTGACAACAAGGGTGACGAACCTCTAGCACCATTCCCTCGGACTTATGCCACGGGAGGGAGTCCCCCATACCGTGGCCGCATTTATTCCCAGGCCCCCACAAAGGACATTGTTCACGTCGATGTCTATTACGAGGAGGCCACCGGATATTGCAGAGGACTCCTCCTTGAATACGCCAACGGCGCTCAGATGGCGTTGGGCCAATGCCGAGTCGGGATTGATCCATTCAAGTCTTTTGATAAACCAAACTGGCTTTGCTATGCGCATAGCTCCAACGGCAAAACATTCAATCGGATTGGGCAATGTAAAATCGAATGCAGCACTGGTTCGGATACTCATGACCATGATCAGAGTGGTATGTTCTACCATTGGGCATGTACTCCTTTGGAAGGGACTCTCGAGTTCGCGTGTGATCATAGAATGGCTGGGCTGCAGTCATATGTCGACATTGAAGAATGAGCGTGTCGATATTTTACAAACTGCAACGACAGAAACAATGTTAATATATGCGGATGGTTTCAATACTGCATAGGTACATGCCCATACGGTCTCAGTCATATCAGCCACCCAATCTTATTGGATGTTGACAACTGAGACCCTTGTAATGCAATACGCAGTGCTACCAACCACATCACGTCCATACACTTTGCTTCTGCTGTGTGATTGACCTTGTTCTTCCATCATCACGGCTACACACCGCTTTTCGTTATCTCCTCAACTGGTCTCAACAAAGAACGCAAAATGTCAGACGCAGATAGTTTGGGCGATTCGCAATCGGAGACGGAATCAATGATCGTTGAGTCCGATGAAGATACATCAGATTGGGACGCAGTACATGTCGCTATCAGATCAACCTGTGGTCTTTGTTCTCAGTCCATCGACCCATACGACTGTGCTATAGCATGTAAGACTCTCATACCTCGAATCCCTTCCTGCCGAGGCCAGTCTTTTGTGTTATTGACATCTCTGCTATAGTGCTCAATAGCCAAGGTCATCGCCATGGTACTCGTCCTGGTTATTGCACAAGGAGATTCCAATTCCCTCAAGGACGAAAAATCATAGTGAAGGGTGATTCATTCCCCTTGTGCAGTGAAGAGCCTTGCCGAGACTGCAAGGGGTCACCTGAGTCAGTGACGATGCATTCGGAATGTTTTTGTTTATTCCTACAGACATATCACGACAAGCCGGCCTTGGACCGTGTTTGGGTGGCAGCAGCCTGGAGAATCCCATGGGTTGTCCGCTCTTCTCAATCCATGCCACACATTGGTTTTATTGAACCCGGGCTAGTATCAATAAGCTCTTCTGCTGCAGAAGCCTTAGGTATACCGCAACTAGCAACCTTGCCATCTGAGGTTCTTCAGCTCATAGCAGCTTATTCACGCGGGAGTCTTGTCTGGAGATACCCGATTATCAAAGCCAGAGCAGAGGAATTATCAAGGTTCGATGAGAGCTCATCCGAGGACGATGGCATGCTGTACAATCTCGGTACTGTGAAGAAATGGCGTCGAGGACAGGATGCAGAGTTCGATGAAAATCCACCCGAGTCTTCTGTATTCCGGCTCACCCTCGATTCCCACGGGCTACTCGACATAGAGAGACTACCTGACTGGCCCGAGTACAGGAGCTGTCGATACCAAACTTACAAGTATTTCTTCATTGATTCTGATGAAGCGGAACGTACTTGGATATATTTCAGGGTAAGTCCCCAATCTTGCACAATTTCCTGTCTTGTAGAGCTACTGACATTGGAGAAACAGTTTGGACATGCGCGGATGAAACTGAGTCCCTCATTGTCAAGACCTGTTCAACTTTGGGACATACCAAGTCCACCAAATCCGCGCACCAAAGGGCTTGAGGTTCTCTTATTCCCACGTCGTGTAGATGCTACTTGCATTCGCACCCTCGATCTACGCAATATTACTGGCATTACCTTCTTTTACTACAGGGGCACTTTGATGGGACTCCATGCTCACACCCTCGGGGGCCCGACAGCGTTGACTACTGTTAGGGACATTCTTTCAGATTATGAGCCCTATTTAGTCTGGATATACATGCCCATAGCACATGGCGATCGTATCATGAGGTTTGGCCTTCGGACTTGGAGAAACGACCGCGAGGAACCGGCGAACCATCATATGGCTTTATTGGTTAGTTCCCGTTTATGAGGTGGCTCCTTGATGCTGACTGGGTGCCTAGATGACCACGAAGCTTGCTGGCGACTTCTCTCTCGGTCCAAATTTCAATGAAGAAGATATGAATTACATCTTTCAAGGAACGCCCGCCGTTCTTTTTCACAACACGCCAGCAAAGGGGGGGATCACACTGTTAGGCTTAGCAGGTGACAAAACTCAAGAGAGGCTACGCGCCCCTAGATTTCCCATCATCGCCCTCTCAATTGATCAGTTGATTAATGGAGGCGATGCTATTACAGTGGACATCTCACTGAAAAACGCTGTCAGAATTGACATTTTCACTGAAAGGTCCACTGGATACTTGAGAGGTTTTATTCTCGAGTATGAGAACGGCGCACAGAGGTCCGCAGGGCAATGCCGAGTAGGGGTTGACCCGGTCACGGTTTGTCACAGACCCGTGTCATTCTGCTACCGCACACTTTATGGGGGAGATCTTGATAAGAACAAACACTATGAACTTGTATGTTGCTCGGAGACGGGTGATCAACATTATGGTCATGGATTTAACAACGGGCTGTGGACTTGTTCAGATTTCGGACTGTACGCTAAGGTTTGGTGTGACGACGTAACAACCGACCTGTATGCATACACTCCTAGGTCTCGGGAGTTTATAGTGGTAGAGTAGGATTGGGTTCAACTGGTGGGTTAGTTTCTCTATCGTCAAGATCAATGCTCTTTTTATCTATTAACGAAATATCTCGGAGGCACTACTGCTCTTGAATAAAGATGTGGATATCACGACATGGTAAAGCCAGCCACATACCATATAGCTGAAGAATAATTCGGCCCACTATCTAGCCTCCTTTCTGGAAGTATTTAATCCGCAGCTGGCCAAGATGACTCGCAGTTCCATGCTTGACAAATTCGAGCCTGAGACTAGAGGAGACGGGACATTTCAGAGCGTATGCTTAGGTTTTGGCGTACTGATGTAATGACCGAACTGTGTATATCCATTCTAGAGTCTGAAGAGGAGGGCCACGGTCACGAGCTTATACGAGTTTACATACTCCGTACGGAGTATAGGAACAGTTATAGTCTGGTGGTATAGCCAGTTCAACAAGACAGGGTGAGGATTGAACACAGCAGCCGTAAGTCCATAATACTACCGCAAGATTAAGGCGCTTCTCGTCTTTTAACTAAGTATCCAAGGAGCAATTATCTGTTCAATTAAATTGTGGGATGTGATATCAATGGATATAGTACGGCCACACCTCAGGAGGTTTACAGAACCCCTGTAACTTATTAACATTAATTACACGCCACGTTCTATTGTTATTGTTTACTATCCAAACCTTTTTCATCTTCAGCCCGTTTCTGAGAATACAAATTTCATATTTGCTACGAAATACAACAATCCCTCTTTTTGTCCCTACCTTTCTTTGTAATAGATTCTTGAATCTCATAACAGTCGCGACATGTCTGATCACAGCTTACCAGATCACCTCAGTCACCGCGTGATTTGAGCTATGACCCTGATAGATATGATTGCGAGGATTTTGCCCGAGCTGGAGACGATTGGGAAGACCAAGACAGGCACATCTGCCTGCATGACCAATGCAACCTTTTGTCTTCTCGATATGGCACCGGATGATTTGGCCATTGCCGGTGTGTGTCGAGAGAGATATGGGCTGCCATTGCTATGCTGATACATCAACCACCTTATAGTAACATGCGAAACATATCTTCGCCCTTCATACTGCACCAAGTTATTCAGATTTCCCGCCGGCAAGGAGGAGTTTCAACCTGATGGAGAGAGGTGGATTCTATGCCAGGATGCTAAATGCAATCAGTCATCTGAAGTTGTGACGATGCATGCTTCCTGTTACCAACTCTTCTTTCAGCACTACACCCATGATAACCTCCTCAACGGTGTGTGGATTGCCACAGAATGGAGACATTACTTCAATCCACGACTTGGCTTCAAGTTGCAAAACAACAGCCTCGTATCAGTGAGCCCCTCGATTGCCGAATCGTTGGGAATACCGCAGCTGGCTCAACTGCCCCCAAGCCTTGTCCAAGATATCAGGTCCACGTCTCCTGATAGTCAAGTTTGGGCTTACTTGGCCATCAAAGATCGTGCAGAGGGGATTTCATCTGCAGCTGGCCAAGATGGCCTGTCTTGTATGCTTGACAAAGTCGAGTCTTGGACTAGGGGCGAGGGTGCACCTGTGATGAGCGACAGCTTTGCTGGGGATTGGAGTTTCCGGGTCACGATAGATCGCCGCGGTATACGCAACATTGAAAGAATCGTTGGTATCTCTTCCTACGCAGGTTGGCGGAGTGAAAGCCTTGCCTTCGCTCTGATACCCCCAGATCAAGCAATGAGAAGTTGTGTTGATTTCAGGGTATGTGGCACAAACTCTTGTCATGATTATTCGAAATGCTAAGCGTTCATTTAGCTTGGAGCAGCTCGTCTTGATCTATGGGGTGGCAGGTCAGTCCTGTGGGATACACCGAGTCCTCCTTTAGGGGGTAAAGTCTCATGGTTCACCGCGTCTGGTCCATCGCAATTATGCAATGTGCGTCTGCGCACACTGGACTTGCGCAGCACCAGGGGCCTCACCTTCTTCTACGTTGGGTCTTCTCTGCGGGCTATTCATTCTCATACGCCTCGCTTCCCAACTGCGTTGACGACATATGCGCGTTTGCCCGAACACGATCGACAGCATGTGGTATGGGCTCATGTCCCTATCTCACCTAGCGATCGGGTTATCGGATTAGGCATACGAACAAGTGGCACGAAAGGTGGATTCGCCTCACCCTCTGTTCTAGTAAGTCTCATCTTCGCGAGGTGCGGATCATAATAGCTGACCAAACAAGATTCGTACTGAGCTTGCTGGTGATATTGTCATCGGCCCTCAGCCCAAGCCTGTTCACCACGACTTGCCTCTCGTCCTCATTAAGGATTACAGCTGCGATATTATACCGGAGTTTTTCGCATACGGTTTACCTGATATTGACGGTGAACATACGCTTCTCGCGGTGGCAGGAGGGTCATCTGAACCTAACGCAGAGTCCACACGTCGATTCCCTCCCAAAACATTATCAACGATAACCCACAGCTGCAGTTGTACTCTCTTCCAAACCCGGGTACCTCTCCAGGGGACCACCCGAATTGATGTATTCGCTTGCAAAGCCACGGGTTTGTGAAGAGTGATCATATTTGGGTACGAGGATGGTGCCCAGACGGCTGTTGGTCAATGCCGCATCAGAATTGACAAGGTAACCACCTACATCAATCCCACGAGGATTTGCTACAGCGATATGATGCGGGCTCATTGCTGTGACGGCGATGATGATTGTTCCAACGAAGAACATGAACCGTGGGAGGAGATGAGATGCACAGCGCATCAGGGTTCCAGGGTTGAATGCTGCAGCGGCACAGATGGCCATCATCACAACAATAGTGATGAGCATATGGTCTGCTTACCCATCAAAGGGTACCTCGATTGCCATTGGGATGGCCGATGGACTCGACTAGATATACAAGAGCATGCCCCTGAAGCGACTGCGGCAATAATGCAAGTGGATATGAACGGCAGAAATCCCCGCGTATTCACGGTATAATGCATCACAATACATTCACAACCTCGGCAATACAGCTTCAAACATATCAGCTCAGTTGCACTCTTCAGCCCATTTCTATATTGCATGTCCCATGCACATAATTCCAGTCTACATCGTTTCGTTCAAATTCGCTAAATGTGTGACCCAAACAACAACATCCGTCTTTTACAGAACTAAACATCACATTTTATGAACCCAACGCCGAATGTTACACGACCCAGATATGCATGCCTTCTCGTCAACTCGCTCTAAGTTCGCAGGAATGTCTTGAACACTTGCGAGTTGGTGCAGTCTTCATAGGGGTATCCGATCTTGCGCAAAAATGACTCCAGCTCAGGAACCTCGTCGTCAGGACACAAGATGCCAGTAACAATCTTGCCCACATCACCGCCGTAGTTACGGTACTGGAACAGGCTGATGTTGAACTTGGGTCGAAGTGTCACAAGGAACTTCTCGAGAGCTCCAGGTCTCTCGGGGAAGGTGAACATGTATAGTCGCTCGTTGGGAACACCGGATCGACCGCCGACGAGGTATCGAATGTGACTCTTTGCGAGTTCGTCTTGTGATAGATCGGTCACGTTCATGTTGTTGGATTGGATACGGTCCATAAGAGAGCGGAGTTCCTCCGATCGCTGGTGGGCGGGAGCAGTCAGAGACACACCGATGAGGATGTTGGCGACTTCGTCTGTCGAGTATCGGTAGGTGAACTCGGTAACGGCATGAGGCATGATGTTGTTGATGAGCTCGGAGAATGCCCCAGGCTGTTCGGGAATCTGCACGGCAAGCAAAGCCTCCTTACCCTCACCCATGGTAGCACGTTCAGCGACGAATCTCAGACGGTCAAAGTTCATGTTGGCGCCTGATGTCACAGCAATGAGGTTGCGCTTCGAGTCGTTCGAGGGGTTCTGGGAGACATATTTCTTGAGGCCGGCGATGGAGAGGGCTCCAGCGGGCTCGAGACCGGATCGAGTGTCGTCGTACATGTCCTTGATGGCGGCGCAGATCTCGTCGGTCGTCACTTCAACGACGTCGTCGATAACCTCCTTGCAGATGCGGAATGTCTCTTCTCCAGGAATCTTGACGGCAGCACCATCAGCGAACAGACCGACCTCCTTGAGCAATACCCGCTCTCCCGCCTTCAACGACTGCGCCATGGCATTGGCGTCGTGGGCCTCAACACCGATGATCTTGACGTGAGGAGCCATGCGCTTGACATACAGACCAATTCCAGCAATAAGACCACCACCGCCGACACCGCAGAAGATAGCCTCCACCTTGGCCATGTTGACCTGGCCAAACAATTCGTTTCCGATGGTTCCTTGACCAGCGATAACATACGGATCGTCGAAGGGAGGGATGTTGATAAGGCCATCTTGCACCTCTCTTCTCGCGCACTCCTCCTTGGCCGCATCGAAATCAGCGCCATGCAACACAACGTGGCCGCCCAAACGAGCAACGTTCAAGTGCTTGATACTAGGGGTCGCTTCGGGCATGACAATGGTCGCAGGGATCTTGAGCTTGCGTGCCGAAAAGGCGACACCCTGTGCGTGGTTACCGGCAGAACAGCACACAACACCCTTCCAGCTCTTCTTCGGGTCGAGATGGGCCATCTTGTTGTAAGCGCCGCGCAGCTTGAAGCTGAAGACGGGTTGCTCGTCTTCACGCTTGAGGAGGACATTGCATTCGAGTCGGTTGCTGAGGTTGATAGCGTGTGTGAGAGGAGTGACCTTGCAGGCCTCGTAGACTCGCGATGTGGCGCTGGCGATAAGACGAAGGTACTGAGACTGTCAGCTTCGCAATTGGTGTTAGTTGAGGGAGTATTATACTCACATCTGGGTATCCTGTAGGAAGAAGATACTCGTCAGGCACAATCTCCTTAATGCGCGCCCGCTTCTCCTCCGACGGTGTAGACGGGTTGACGCTGTACTCTGTCAACGCCATTCCGGTCATCGGCGTATGCGGCCGAGAGTGAGAGTCGCCGTTTGTGCCATTGGTAGTGCCATTCACGGCGCCGTTCACAGGCACCGCAACAATGGGATCATGAGCTGAAGGCATCGTGAGGGAATGTGTGAAGAGATTATGTGAAAAAGGGAAACAAAGGTTGGAGTGAGGAAAAGGTAAATATTATTTAGTCCTTCTTTCTCTAGTCACCGCCGAACGACCGGACCTGAATTTTTGTTGGACACCAGCTGTGAGTCAATTGGCACAGGGGTGACGTAGAATTATGGGGTGGCCACAGCGAGATAAGAAGTATACAGCGGGTGCGGATGTTGCTTGGGCGGACTCACCGAGTCCGTTGAAGGCCGATCTAAGGCCGATTGTCGTGCCATGTTGTACAGTGAAATTGCTCAGAGTTGAGCAGGTAACAAGAATAATGGCCTGACTTGTTGAGATGAGAGACATCAGATAGAAGAGTCACCTTTAAAGACCCTGAAATACTGCGTACAATTTAGTGAATGTTTATCCCCAATGGAGGGGCTAGAATACAGCCCGCGGGGTTCGACATCGGAGGTTGTACCTGTCCCACCACCAACCACAGCTCTTGTATTTGTCTTTTTCAGGGCGTGCCTTGCGTGTTAGTGAAAGGCGTTTGGACAATGCGATGGTCTTGTACTGTGAAACTCATTTGTTTGGTTATCGTATTCTCAAATTCGGATATCGCTCTAATCAAATATTCACATTCCAAGCCCAACTCCTAAAAGCATTATTCCCTCCCATAATTTTACTTCCTCACTGCATCGTCGTATGCAGGCGGTGCATCCTTTTCAACATGTCGTTGGTTCATGGGACCCAACTCGTAGCCACCGTTATTAGGCTCCTCGTGAAAGTCCCTTGTTTGGTAAATATTCTGACTTGAGCTGCTACCAATGATGCCAACCCTTTGTGCTCCTGACTGGACCATGGCAACACCCGCTTGTCGTCTCTCTTCTCGTCGGTAATCCCTCTCTGCTCGTTGTTCGGCTCGAAGTTGCATACGCTCAGCACGCTGCATCTTTTTCTGATATCGACGCTCAGCCTTGCGTTGGTGGCATGAAGATCGACCAGTGTTCATGGTCATGTAATCAGGGTTGGGACCCATTAGTTGAGGTTGTTGGACGAGATAGGTTTGTTGCTGTTGACTTCCGTAGCACCCATTTGAGCGAGGCTGTTTTGAGGAGTCTGTAGCACTCATAATAGCGCTGATTGTAAGACCGATGAGACCCATGATGAGTGTAATTGGGTTGTTTCGTTTGTTTGTAGAGTATGTGATGTAGGGTAGTTGTTTTGGATGTATTAGATGTCTGTTTGATGATGAGAATCCCTTTCTCCTACGACGAACCACGGCTTCTTATAGCTTTCAAGATATTGCTCCCTCTCAATCGAAGCCATTCCCTAATTGTAGGTTCATTCGACAATTCCACGGCGCAGTTTCTAATGCGAATGCGCAGCCACGCTGACGTACTAACATATCGAATGAATCTCCAAATAGGGCTTAGCGTCACTTTGGTGATGGTTGTCACAACCAACCTAGCGTCGCCTATCTCCTATGTAATATTCGCATTCGCTTTTGGGAAGCCGAATTGCCGTTTTCCTCAATCGGAATGCGACCATGTTAGCTTCATGTTTTATCATTTGTTCATGTATCATAACATAGGATGATCTTGATGGACGACATCTCGGATCGGAGAAGGGCACTAATCACTCATCATCGAGACGTGCTTTGAAGTTTACGAACGCAAATACGTTCAGATCGTCATCATTCTATCGCAGTCTATGCAGTCTACTCTATAAACGCATTTTATCAGTCATAAGCATGAAATCGTCATCGTCCAAATGATCGGGAAAGCTCCCAATATGCTCTAAGCAGTGCAATTCCTCCAACTTGTGTCTCGACAGTCCGGCCACGGCCCCGTTTATTCGGGTCCTGTGCCTTCATCTTCACCTCTCGAGGTGAATGTCCTCCGCCCCGAGGTACAAGGTCTCCCCCAACACTGTCCATAACATGCTGGTCGGACTTCGGCCCCGATGGTGACCAGTGTCCTGTACCTGGAGTCCATCGGTGAAGTCCACCCCAGGTCTCGTCATCAGGCGTTCCTTGGTTGCGGTAGTCAGTTGCGTTCTCTGCGGCGTGGTCGATACCGTCAGTATCCAATGTTGGGACAGCACCGTAGATGCTAGCTCCCCACCACATGCCAAAGAGGCCATCGTCGTTGCGAGTCTTCAGAGCTGCATGGGCGTTGTGCTTGACCCAGCCCAAGTACGACTGGCATGCATCTGCGTGAATGCCTTTCACACGTCGGTATCCACGGGGATCGATTGTTCTGCCCTGCTTGGCGACTAGAGGTTCAAGAGGGCTGCAGAATGCTGTGAAGTGATGGAAGAATATGCCCTTGAAAGTCTGGCCGTCCTGGGAGCAGGTGCTACTAGCGTCGCACTGCTCTTCCAGGATGCCTCCTCGGCCAAGCCCATACCACGGAGGCAACTGACCAGGGCCCAAGTGTTTCAGGTCATCGACGGGCTTATTCTCTTTCAGATTCCATCCTGTAGCTCTGATAACGGACTGAATAAGACGATGCCCGTCTTCCAGATACGAAGCGCTTCCA